AAATCACAAAATCCTAAAGCAAATAAAAGTCCTGATATATATATATATATATATACGTATACCTAGTGAAACCATGCAAATTGCAATTTTACGTTATTTCGTTATTATTGATTGTATCATTTTTGTAATTATAAGGTGAATAAAAACGAAATCTACTGTTTTTTTGATAAAATCTGGCATCACTGACGATAAGCACAGTGTAAGAGATAATTGATTACGTCGTGCGCTCATTGCCTGGGCGCGCACGGCTATGCTACTCATATGCGTGTGAAATCGACCACACGTGTGCGTTCTTACCCCGTGCGACGCACGATTGCTATCTGGGACACTTATTATTATCAAAAAATGATTTAAATTCAATATTTCTATAGAGTGCCATCTATAAAACAAAAGAGGAACCTGTGTTACCTTCAAATGTCAAATTTTTATGTGTTATAAATCGAAATGTATCCCTAGAAAATAGATTAACAACAGTTTTTTACAGTGAAAGTGAAAATACTTTTATTACCGAGTACCTACCTATATTTTATAAAATATATAATAATTTAAATAAAATATTATTCAAGTGGCAACCCTTTATACAGGGTGATTAGTTTATAACAATATAACACTTGGCGCTGCATATCCGGCTGTATGCCACCAACTATTCCGGACAACATTCGTGATATTCATACGAACATCATGTCGTGATTTTCACAAATTTTATTCATACTGATATCATACGGAAGTCACCTCGTAATAAATGAAAATCATACGAACGTCACGTCGTGATTTTCACAAATTTTATTCATACGGACATCATCTGGATGTCACTGCGTGAGAAATAAAAATCATGTCGTGATTTTTTATGCCATCGCTGTTTGCGATAAACCGATAGCACAAAAAATCATGTCGTGATTTTTTAATGCCAACGGTGTTTGGATAATCATTTTTGCGCCTCGTTCGTACACCAAGAGAAAAATTATGTTGAATCAACAGTTTTTGCGGTCAAATACATTTAATATTTTTTTGGATTTAAATTAACTATATAAACTGATCGAAAAAAGTTAAGGATATTGTGAATTCTCTGAGGAAAAATTGTTTTCAAAAAAAAATTTATAACGTACATTTACTGTCATCTCTTTTAGAAATAAAACACATTTGTTTAACTGAAAAAATATTTTAATTAAAATTTACAGGCAACTTTTCTCTTACAATGTAACACAACAGATAATTATCAAAAAGAAATAAATTATTAATAGTACATTTACTCTCATCTCTTTTAGAAATAAAACACATTTGTTTAACTGAAAAAATATTTTAATTAGAATTTACAGGCAACTTTTCTCTTACAATGTAACAAAACCGATAATTATCAAAAAGAAAAAAATGATTAATAGCGTGTAATTCCACCTCTGCTGGTTATTACTGCTTCAACTCGGCGAGGCATGCTTAAAATTAAACGATCCAAGTCATCTTGATCCAAGGTATCCCATAAATATGGAAGAACTTGCCTCACGCCCTGAACAGGAGGTTGATGGGCAATTGGTGCCCTTCCGAGCAAGTCCCAACCATGCTCGATGCAGTTTAAATCTGGAGAGAGCGGGTATAATGGCAAATGATTAATTTCATGGAATGCTGGCCGTTCTTGTACTATCCTGGCTCTGTGCGGGCGAGCGTTATCATTCAGAAATCTGAAATTGGGCTCCAAATTCCAACGATAATCATCCACAATGTTATCAATGATGTCGTGAGCATAAATTTCACTTGTCATACCTTCACAAACATAAAACTCCGTTCGACCTCCGTAGAAAATTCCACCCCAGACTATTACACCTCCACCTCCAAATGGATGCACTTCTTCAACATACCGGTCATTAACTGTTGAATTTCTTGGTCCCCAGACACAAACTGTAATTCTGTCAGCACGAAGACCAAAGCGGCTTTCATCGCTGAACATCACAGTACGCCACTCATCATTCCAGTTTGCTCTTTTATTACACCAAAGCAAACGTTGAGCTATATGGACTGCAATCAATGGAGGGCGTCTTATAGGCCTATAGCAATGTAAACCTGCTTCATTTAATCGATTTAAAACCGCCCTAGGGGTAATACGAACTCTATTTGCAGCGATTATCGTTGGAATTTGGAGCCCAATTTCAGATTTCTGGATGATAACGCTCGCCCGCACAGAGCCAGGGTAGTACAAAAACGGCTAGCATTCCATGAAATTAATCATTTGCTATTACCAACGCTCTCTCCAGATTTAAACTGCATCGAACATGGTTGGGACATGCTCGGAAGGGCACTAATCAGGACGTAAGTTCACTGAGGCAAGTTCTTCCATATTTATGGGATACCTTGAATCAAAATGACTTGGATAGTTTAATTTTAAGCATGCCTCGCCGAGTTGAAGCAGTAATAGCCAACAGAGGTGGAATTACACGCTATTAATCATTTTTTTCTTTTTGATAATTATCGGTTTTGTTACATTGTAAGAGAAAAGTTGCCTGTAAATTCTAATTAAAATATTTTTTCAGTTAAACAAATGTGTTTTATTTCTAAAAGAGATGAGAGTAAATGTACGTTATACAAATTTTTTTGAAAACTATTTTTTTCTCAGAGAATTCACAATATCCTTAACTTTTTTCGATCAGTTTAGTTAATTTAAATCCAAAAAAATATTAAATGTATTTGACCGTTAAATTAAATCCAAAAAAATATTGAATGTTAAACTGTTGATTCAATTGTTAACATACTTTTTCTTTCAATGTACGAATGTGTCGCAAAAATGAATATCCAAACACCGATGGCATAAAAAATCATGTCGTAATTTTTGCCATCGGTGTTTGGATATTCATTTTTGCGACACATTCGTACATTGAAAGAAAAAAACCTTAGAAGAAAAATATTTTTCTTCTAAGGTTAAAACTGTTGATTCAACATAATTTTTCTCTAAGTGTACGAAAGTGGCGCAAAATGATTATCCAAACACTGTTGGCATAAAAAATCACGACATGTTTTTTTAGGCCATAGGTCAATCGCAAACAGCGATGGCATAAAAAATCACGACATGATTTTCATTTCTCACGCAGTGACATCTGGATGATGTCCGTATGAATAAAATATGTGAAAATCACGACGTGACGTTCGTATGATTTTCATTTATCACGAGGTGACCTCCGTATGATATCAGTATGAATAAAATTTGTGAAAATCACGACATGATGTTCGTATGAATATCACGAATCATTCGTGACGAATGTTGTCCGGGTTTAAGTTTTGTTAAACATTGGAATATCTTTTTCAATTGAACCCGGACAACATTCGTAATATTCAAACAACGTTTTATAAATTATAACGGTGTAATGTGAATAACAAACTAGGTTTTAAATTCGCAGTTCGCAGGGCTCATACGCATGCGCAAATTTTGCAAATATCACACCGTGAGTTATACATGATATCACTGTGATGAAGCATGTGTATGCACTCAGGATATCACAGCGTGTTAAAAAAAATCACGTTGTGATACCATCATGACTTCACCAGGAATTCCCGATTGTTGTCCGGGATGTTTCAAATATTGGGTTTGGGGATTTCAAGAGTCGTGGGATTGTTGTAAATTTTTGATTTTGTGTAACCCCTAAAAAGTAATCCAAAAAACGCGCCTAATTTACATAGCCATTTTTGCCATTATTGACTCACAAACTTTTGACTATTATAGTCTCATAATAAATAAAATTTAACTACCGCAAGAAACTTGCGCAAAATGCTATTTCGTCCACAGGTTGAAGAAATTAACAATCAGGGTCTTCAATAATATTATATTATGTCTCTTTGGAAATTATCATTGAAAATAAAAATTTGTCATAAATTTAATCAATCAATATCTTCACATTTAAGAACACTAAAAGATATAAGCATATATTGCCAAATCAACTTTCTCAAAGTCATTAATGATCATTCATCGATGGACATAAAAAAGAACTGTATGTTTGTTTAGTTTAGAAAGAGAAGGTAGGTATCCTTGTAAGAAAAATAAGCTTATTAAAACACATTTATTAATTTAATCACCAGGTACAATAACAAAGTTGCAAACGGTAAAATTAATTAATAATAGAAGTCTGTGTATACAAGTAAATGCAAATAAATATTATTAAATAAAATCTTTGAGCATACCTGCACAATGTCATGTCTTAATAGAAAAAAATATATTACTATTAAATATTTCGTTTACATTAAATTTTTATTTTGATATAAAATGGTTTTAAATCACAACATTTTTTGGTTTACTTAATTACCTATAAGGTTGTGACATAATTTCATTTCACAAAAAAACATTATTTTATACATTAAAGCTTTTTCTGTGTAAACTAAAGGGTTCTCAATAATTAAAATAGAAATAAATTTGGGATATAACTGGGCTTTATACACTTAAAAAAGATTAGTCTTAAATGGTGTTTATGTTTAAGGAATTTATTACCTATGTATTATTCTATCGTGACAATTTTCCTAATTACAGTGTCAGAAATTATACATAATCTATTTTTATACTTTTGGGGGGCATATAATTCAACAAAATTAAATTTTTCTTGGACTTCATATAAATAAAATTAATAATATTGCAAGATAAATAAATAGTTATAATATATTTACAAGTTTGTTTCTGCTGAATCAGCTGTCCCCTGTATATAACAGAATTATTTAGTAAAAATTATTAATTAACAATACTTTAAAACCTATTACCTCTGCCCTTTACTCTATAGGAACTGTTTGGACACAGTTTTAATATTTTAAAACTCGATTTCATCGGTTTTAATTAAGACCTATTTTATAGAATTGCCCTAGTTACTTAAGTTATTGCTTATTTTAGCTTATTTGATATAATATAATAACACAATAAATACATAAGGGCAGTCTTTAAAAAATTGTAGGTATTTAAGGTAATATTTTGATTAATAATCATTTATTTAATTTTTACAGATTGTATAAAAGTAAAAATATTAAATAAATACTGAAAAGGCTTATGGAAATTTTGTTTTGATTAATTTTTGATATAATTGACCATAATCGTCACAAAACTACTTGGTAATTTTTTGAATACCTTTTTATAGTTTCTGTAAAAATTACAACATCAGATAATTTTGTAGTACTTAATTGTTATTAAAAGAAGCCATTAGAATAGTCCATAGGACTTATACAGCGTAAAATAAGCAACAATAAGTAATAAAAATTAATTACTCTTTACACGCTAATATTTACAATTCACTTTAACACAAAATTATGTTTTTATCATCACAGCTTACCACACAAAAACACACTCGCACTAATTTTAATATTCGCTTCGCAAAATCACGCCTATCGATATATTAAATAAATACTTCGTCTTTTTAAGAATCGAGGAAAAAATTAATTTTCAAGGACCGGAGTTATGGGGAAGCTTCCCTGTAATAAGGATTCACCCCCTTAATCGGCAACGGGTGACCCTCAGTGTTGAACACCCATTTGTCCAAGGCGAAGAGTTCTTCATCAGAGTAGAGAAGATACAGATACTAAAACAAAAATAAGTCAATTAATTTCAAGGAAACAAGTTTAATGATTAAACTTTAATCATGACCAATTTACCTTTAGAACTTCAGCAATAAAGAAACTTTGTTGGACATCATCTTGCTGAGGATCTTCTGAATAAACATTTTTTAACCCTGTGTAACCTCCCGGAACTCTACAGTGCTTTTCCAAAGCCTAAAAATAAAAAAATTATTATGGTTGTGATTAAACCACATGTTTATACAAAATATTACAAATCTTTCAACTGGGTATGTTCAAAGATAATATTAATATAATAATATTATCTTTGGGGATGTCTCATAACGTAAACGGGTTTTCAATAAGTGTGAACCGCTTTTAAATTGAAAAACAAATATATTTCTATATGAGAATTGTGACAGGCCTGATTTATTAAATAAATTTAGTCTTGAAAGAAAGCAGAGGCGTAAGAATCTTATGGTAAAATTCTATCTATATATTACAGGGTGTTTAAAAAAACATGCGCTTAAGATTCGTCATCCAAAAATACGACAAAGGTTCGTATAAACGTAGTTCCGGTTATAGTTTTTAAAATTAAACATTAAAAAAACAGCTTTTTAAAAATATCTAACATCGTTTGCCCGATTTTGTTGAAATTTGACAACATTATTTATACTGATAAGGAGCTAATTTTGCTTTAATTATATTAAAATTGTCAAGTCCAGTTGCGTCCCGGAAGGCTCCTTAACGAATATTAATGACAAAAAAATGTATGTCAGTTTTTTGTAATTTTTATATTTTTTATGATTAAGCCACCAAAAATACTTACATCATGCATCTATTGAGTTGTTTTCGTATCTTAACTCGTTTTCGACAGAAAAAATAAAAACCATATTATTGCATAAAAATTGACAAAACGCATATTTTGAACCTTTTTCCAAAAACTACCTGTTATTATTTTTTGATAAATCAAGCGGTTATGAAGAAAATTGACAAAACGTACAAATAACGTTGCCAAATTTCAACAAAATCGGTCAACGATTTTTAAGATATTATAAAAATGCCGTTTGAAAACTAAGCATATCGGGCCTACGATTATAAAAACTTTTTTCTTATTTATGGATAAGGAATCTCATGTTTTTTTAAATACCCTGTATATATAGAAACCTACGTATCTGCTTTTTTGCAAGACTAAATGTAATAATCTCAAGGGCCAGACAAAATCGTCCCTGGGTTATTCTCATCTTCTAGGAGATATTTGGAAAGGTATATTTTTCAAATAGTTGTTCCAAAGTGAATTTAACAAATTTACAATTGATTATGGCGACCATTATTACAAAGCAAACATGTACACTAGACTATAAAAAAGTCGACTATTTTTTTTTTCAAAATTTATTTCGATTAGTTTTTGAGGTATCTAAAATGGAATAGAAAGTTTTAATTTTAGTAATGTGTGTACGTTTAAGGTAGTTGTGCTGTAGGCATACCATCAGAAAATTTTAAATTTTTGTATACTTATTAAGAACATGACAATACAATTATCCTTAAAATAAAATAAGTCGATGGACCGTCTATAACCCGAGATAAATTCAATTAAAAATTGGATAATTAACATGGATTGTATACACTTTCTGTAGTTCTGTACCAGTTTCTTAGTTATAAAGAAAACTAACTGTCAGAAGCTTTCAAAAAACTAACAGTCTTTTAATGTATTTTTGCCGAGTTAAAAAAAAAAGAATAAAAAAATTTTGACCGTCCAATTGTTTATAAATAACCGTTTAAAGTTCAACAATTTGTGTCAGATAAAAACAACTTGGCAACGCTGTACGCGAGCATAGATATTATTTGCGCAGTAAATTCAAACAGACTGATTCAGTCTATAATATATCTATTGGTTGCGCATAAGCGAAATTGCCGGATTAAAACTTATAAAAATATGTGAAAGTATTCGATGTGGCTCCCGTCCCGAGGCGGGACTTAAGTTCAGTCCCGATTGACGTCACACACTGTAAATCGGTTTTTATTCCACGAGATTTTATAATTTGTGTCAAGCTCGATGGCTTAGATGGTAGGGCGGTCGCTTGGCATGCGAGAGGTACCGGGTTCGATCCCACTAGAAGTTGTCAAACTTTTTTTATTTTTTTTATTTTATAAATTTGTTGTTTCTTTGTTAAAAAGTGTTTTATTTTTATCGTAACATAAATTTGCCCATTTTAGTTGGGTTTTTTGCTCAATGGGGCGGGGGGGGGCCCAATGGGGCGGGGTCGGTTGGCTTGTGTTGTTGAGTTTGGGTTGGTTTGGTTTTATGACGTAACTAAAGTGCCCTTAACATGTATACAGGTACAATTTATTATTATTATTTTATTATAACATAACAAATCTTAAAATTATGACGTCAATCGGGACTGAACTTAAGTCCCGCCTCGGGACGGGAGCCACAGCGGAAAGTATTACGTATAGGTAACGCAAGGGTACAGTCTTGCGAAAAAATTATGAATCACTTAGCTACAAGCTTGTATAATTTTACGGTGCGTATAATCTAAAAAATTTTGACAATATTGTACCACGACAACTACCTTAAGCCAATGAAAACTTTATTATAGTGGAAATAATTAACTTGTTGTTACGTTAAAAAATAATTCAACAAATATCACATGAGAGATCGATAAATTTGAAATAATTCTCCTTTCTCAAACCTGTTGCTATTTGGCAATATACACCATTTTAGCTCTCGTGTCTATTGCCTAGCAAATAGGTTTTCGAAAATCTGTTGAATTAATTTTAACTTATTCTCACTCTTTTAAAAATATAACTGAAAATATGGTTTTAAATGACTATGAAAAAAATGCTGTAAAAGTTTGGGCTCGTAATATTAAAAGGGCATCATTTTCTATTTAAGATTTAAATAACGTTAACTTTGGAATTTTATAACTCCCCAGAAAATAGTTTTATAGGGAATTAAATGCTCTACAAAAAAGGTATCCTTTCATTTTATGATAAATCCATTCTTTAAAAAAGTTATTTATAACAAATGATTTAAAGTGATTTTTCTGCAAAATTATCAGATAAATCGTAAAATTTTATAGAACTTGCAAAGTTTTAAAAATTCCTAAAGTAATTTTTTTTAATCTTGTTTTTACTGTTTTTTGAAAGTAACTTAGATATTATACTGTCTACTGTATAAACAACATAAGCACAATTTTATCATATGACTTATCATAAAGATACCACCTATATTTTATAAAATCTATTAAAAAACTCTCTTATAGTACTTTTTTCATTGCAATGTTGATACCATAGATAACAAAGCCTTTGATATGAGTAAAACCACTAATCTTACCTGAACTGCCTCCCATCCCCAGTCCCTGTACTTCTGGTCCTTAGTCAGTCTGTACAAATAGAAATAGGATTCGATAACCTCCGGTCTGAGTATGTAATATTTTTCGGAATTTTTCAGAGCTCTCGCCTCAGATCCCTCGGTAAATCTGAACGCTTCTGGTCCCAGTTTTGTGGCAGAACGGTCGTACGACTCGTGGCAAGTATGTGTTAGATTTTTGGCGATGTCCATGTACCTTTCTGACATCGAGTTTTTAAGGGTATGGGATGCCAAAGCGAAAAGGCCACCTAAAATAAATATAATTTCATTTTTTTTAATAAACAATAAACTTTAGTGTGATAAAGTAATAAATAACAATAACAATTTGACTAAATAACCTGTAATAAGCTTAAGGTCGTTTTTTACCACCAGCGGCGCTGATTGTCGATGTCGATGTCGATATTGATAACGTTTCGGTACAAATCAAACAATAAACAGAACACCACCGCCTAATTATCTTAGGAAGATTTTCTTAGGAACATGAAGTTTGGACTCCTTGTGTAGGCTCCATGTTAAATATAAACAACTCACGTACGGTAGGCCAAACTAACTTTGTTTAATTAGCTTGGCTAAAAAAAACTGTATATTTTCCGATTGCGATTCAGAAAATGGAAATTAAATTAAAGCGGCTACTTCAAAAGAAAAGAAACGAAACATTCACCAAGCTTTCCATAAAATTCTGGAAAGAATGGGCAAATCTTATCAAAGAAAACATTAATTTGACAGATTACCTTAATTTGAAATCTTAAAAATTTACTCTTAAAACCTCACATAGTAGGCCTTGTATTTTGTACAAATATGGCATTTTTGCTCCAAAAATACAGTTTATCAAGATCTACACTTTAAAACAAATCCGGTTAAAATCGCACAATAAATAAAGATTTTACAGGGGTGAGCCGCAAACAAATGGGTCACACTGTATATATATTTGTATAGATAATATAATGGTATTTTATCTACGCCAGTGAGATAAGAACTTCTTATCCCACTCATTTTGAGTGAGATAAGAAGTTCATTAACGCACGCGTTTTTTTCTGTTTTTAACCAATCAAATAAAAAAGTCAAAATGTCAAAATAACCCTAAATTAAGTCTTAGACAAAAATAATTACCGTTTATTTTTTCATTTAGAGGCGTAGATAAAAATCTTTACAATATACGTGTGACAATACAATTCATTATAATTAGAACCAATAAAATGCCAGTATTCCATGGTTACGCATTTTATCACAGCGACAATACAATTCATTATACTTAGAACCAATAAAATGCCAGTATTCCATAGTTACGCATTTTATCACAGCGGCAATATTTTTTATCACCTTGTTTACACGTTGCTAAGGATTTTGACACTGTTCTTGATTTGACATTTGTTGACATTTAAATACTGTTTGTTAAATGATTAAAATAATGAATTATAAACTCTAAAAGATAGATGGGTTGGTGTAAACGATAATAAAATTAAGGTAAGTTTGAATAAATTAGGTTTATTAGTCTTTTTTATATTTTAAAGCACATTTTAATTTCAAAGGCAAACTGAAAATTCGTTAAATCCTAAAATTCATTATATTTTCTCACTAAATATAACTCGTGGTATGATTAATTATTGACAATATTTACTCATTGAAACCGAAGCAGCACATTTCACTCGTCCTGCGGACTCGTGAAATCTGCAGCTCGGTTTCAATTCGAAAATATCATCGATGATAATCATACCACTTGTTATATTATGGGTGACAATATTTTTTATCACCTTGTTTACACGTTGCTAAGGATTTTGACACTTTTCTTGATTAGACATTTGTTGACATTTAAATACTGTGTTTGTTAAATGATTAAAATAATGAATTATAAACTCTAAAAGAACGATGGGTTGGTGTAAACGATAATAAAATTAAGGTAAGTTTGAATAAATAAGGTTTATTAAAGTCTTTTTATATTTTAAAGCACATTTTAATTTCAAATGTCAAACTGACAATTCGTTAAATTCTAAAATTCATTATATTTTCTCACTAAATATAACTCGTGGTATGATTAATTATCGATGATATTTACTCATTGAAACCGAAGCAGCACATCTGCAGCTCGGTTTCAATTCGAAAATATCATCTTGTTTACACGTTACTAAGAATTTTGACACTTTTTTTGATTTAACATCAGTTGTCATTTAAATTCTGTATTTGATATACCTATATCAATAAAATAATGAATTATAAACTCTAAAAGATCGATGGGTTGGTGTAAACGATAATGAAATTAAGGTAAGTTTGAATAAATAAGGTTTTTTATATTTTAAAGCACATTTTAATTTTAAATGTCAATCTGACAAATTTTTAAATTCCTAAAATTCATTGTATTTTCTTACTAAATATAACTTGTGGTATGATTAATAATCAAAGATATTTACTCATTGAAACCGAAGCAGCACATTTCACTCGTCCTGCGGACTCGTGAAATCTGCAGCTCGGTTTCAATTCGAAAATATCATCGATGATAATCATACCACTTGTTATATTATGGGTGATAACGCTTTATTAACGTACTTTTGCGATGCATGCGTACGTTAATAAAGCTCTTATCCCACTTATATCGTAAATAACTATTACCGTTGGGTGGAGACTTTTTTAAACAACGCTTTTAATAATGCTAAATGCTGTTTGAATTTAGACGACTTATTTGTTTGACGATTTTTACTGAATTGAAATGTTTGCACTTTTCACGTTAATCATTATTAAAATGTGTACTTATTGTATCTAATAGATACAATTTATATTTACAGGGACTGTATGAAATTTATTTCTTCATTCGTATTAACACTGTTTATTGGAAAACCGGTAAAAACTCAACCCAGGATTTCCTCTCGAAATACACCCAACAACACAACAAATCGTGCCACGGTTTTTTTTTGAAATTTTTTAACATTTTCCGGCTTTATTCTCAAAAACATTTGTTTATTAAATAAGCGTTTAACAGCTGATTATTAAAAGTTTTATTTTTGTTATGATGATAACGGCCGACTGGTGGCGCTACTAGCGATACTTCTTTAGCGTTTTAAATGGTTAAATGGTTATTCAGGAATTATGTGACTTGTTTGATAGGTACTTTTTCTTCTTTTCAATCAGTTTTTTTTTTGTAAAAAAATTGCTTCAATGTGAAATTTGTATCAGCATCGTATTATGGAGTTATGCTAATCACATAAATGTATTTTTCTTACTACCTCGGCCGAAAATACGTTGTTTCGTCCCCGATTCCACGGCAGAAAGTTTACGTTTGATCCATTGGTCAAATTTACGTTTGATGCATTGGAATCGGGGACGAAACAACGTATTTTCGAGTATATTACACTACAAGGGCTACGAAGGCTTCGCTCGTGCCGCAAATTTCGGGGCAGGCATCAATATGTTTCGATATACACATTTAATTTTTTCCCGTATTTTCGGCCGGGTAGCAAGAAAAATATTATACACTACACGGGCAGAAAGTGCGAGAGCCCTGAACTGCGCGCCATGATGCCCTCGGCTTCGCCCCGGGCATCATGGCGCGCAGTGCAGGAATCTCACACTTTCTGCCCTTGTAGTGTAATATACTATATGTTCTTCTCTCGGAATTGCAGCGACTAGTACACAACAATTAATTAATTACCTAATTTGCGGTTTTATGTATTATTGCATTGTTAATAAAAAATAAACACACAACTTTCTTATTCTAAAACATTTTTACAACTATCATAATATAATATTGCTACATTTTAATATAGGTAATTTGAAATAAGGGAAGGAGGATGCCCAGAGTCAAAAACACCGAATCACACACAACCCTTACTCCTTTTACATATTTACAATAGATATATTTACCTGAGAAGCATCCTAAATGATCCATTTTATGTTCAGGTCTATCGAATTTCAATTCGGCAAAGTACATCATTCCATTTTGGGAAGTTTGAAGCATATGCCTCATTACAGCTTGCATGGCATCGTCGAACATTTGACGTACTTCGTTATCTTCTTTGTTGGTTTGAAGCCAGGCTTTTAGCAAGTATTCGTAGAAACTGTCGCCAAGGGCTCCCATGGACATATGATCTAAAATATAACAACAAATTTAATAATATATTTTCAAAATTTCTAATTACTGATAATTATCCAAATTTAGCAAAATATTGCAAATTTAAGTTTTTAAAACAGTTATTCTTCTACTTACGTTGTCCCCATTTTCCAGTTTTGGGATTAAGATAATTTGGATATAGCCCATTTGGTTTTTCCAAACTTTCAACGAACTGCCTGATATGATCGACCTTGTTCTTGTATACAGGTTTACCTGTGACATCACTTAAGTACGCGAACTCTAAGTGTAGAGTACCAAATTCAGATAATATACTGGATGCTCCGCTGGCCCAACCGTAATTTTTGCTATTCTGTAGAAAGGAAATATGATAAGAAAAATAATTAATTAGGTATTTTTTGTTACTTACTCCTGTTTTGAAGTTGACCAGAGCATTTGGAATTCCTGTTGGCGTTTCGAATGCCGGCAATAACTTCTCGGCTATCATCTGTGCTTTATCTCTAAACATGACGTCACCGGTCATTGCGTAGCAAGCCAAAAGACCTCCGACAAAACGGATGTTGACTTCGAACACGGAAACGTCGTTGGACTAAGAATAAATATTTATCTTAAATTTTTACTATTCCTGTTGACTAGGTCAGTTTTTTTAAAACCGAAATCGGCGAGTAACTTTTTAGTGGTCAAAAATAAGATATATTATTATTTTATTAAAAAAATAAAATTTTAAATCTGTACCATATTTAAATATACAGGGGGCATTAAGTATCCTTCTATGTAAGGCATTTTTTATTTAAAGAGCTACAAGGTCGGTTAAAAATTGGTTTTCGAATAATTTGAAATAAACTGAAAACATGTCAAAACAAAAAAATCTTAATTTGTATCACAATCCACACAACAAGGTCTGTTCGATCTCGTAGTAAAAATACTAAAAATCACTGCAACACTGCACATTATCAGATTAATAATCGTTTTAAACGTTGTGTTTCTTACAGAGAGACTTGAAAGCCTTAAAAGAGACCTCAAAGTGGTAAGAACAATCATTTTTCTGCTCTTTTGGGCTGCCAAATGTCAACAACAACAACGTTTAAAACTATTATTAATCTGTACAAACCCAAAGCACAAGAATTTTAAACAACAAAAATGGCCGCCATCTTATGATGTGCAGTGTTGCAGTGATTTTTAGTATTTTTACTACGAGATCGAACAGACCTTATGTGGATTGTGATTTGTATCTAATTTGTGACTTATTTAAATTAAATGTCATGTCATTAAAAAGGGTGTCGTAAAGTCGATTTAATGAACTTTAGTAGAAGTTGGTTCACGTTTTCTTTAAAAAACTAAAAATGTAAAAATTACTTTATTATTAAAAGTACGTTTTAAACCAAAAAAAGTAAAAAAAATGTCTCCATTAAAATTTTTATCGGTTGAATAACAAAAAATAACAGAAACGTTTTGGGGTAGTATAACAAATAAAAATTTCAGCCAAATCATAAGTGGTCGGTTTGGCGTGGTATGTACTAGGTATATTATTTAAATCATTTAAAATTATGATTTTATTAATACCATTTAAATACGAGTAAGTAAGTGTAAATAAAATGTACGTTATCAGGGGTCTAATATTAAACCCAACAAAGTCTATTTGAGTAAAATTTTAAGAAATACGCTATTAAAGTGATCTCTTAAAAAAAGAAATGTAATTATTATTTTAAACTGGAATGGTATTTTTGATAAATGTGATGGTATTTCCTAATTCAAAAGATAAAGGAAGTCAAAATAAGACGAAAATCTAAATAAATATTTTTCCTAATTAGGTATGTTTAAAATATACAGGGTCAGTGTTGCCAACCATAGCGGAACTTCGCTACGCATAGCGGGATTTACCCCCAAGAGCGGCGGTGGAACAAAATGATAGCAAACCGTAGCGGAAATTAGTTTTTTTTAAATAAATATTAGTAAACCATCTTAAATAAATTGTTCTATATGTACTCAATATGCAATAAAAACTTTATTTATTTATTTTTTTATTTTAATTTTCTGGTTATATGTTAGGTATAATCCCTATATAAATTTTTTGTTACCTGTTTTTTATATTTACTACTTGAATAAAGTATTTTGCTTAAAATTTCTTGTCTTTATTTGCATTAAAAAAAAATTAATCCAAAATTTGGATTCCAAACTTTAAGCCAAAATAGAGCGGGTGTAGCGGAATTAGGATAGATTCGGCTGTAGCGGAGCGTAGCGGAATTTTTAGTGTTATTTGTTATTTTCGAGTTGGCAACACTTTACAGGGTGATAAAGTGTTACTTGTCATATAAGTTTTTTTTATTTAACTTCTACTATGGTCAGAGCTGTGCGGTACTCGAGTACAAGTACTCAAACACTGTACTCCAAGTACTTTCAGTGTACTCGGTACTCAGTCCCGAGTACTTTAATTTGAATGTACTTATACTTGTACTTCTGTGGGTAAAAGGCATAAGGGGATAAGTCAAAAAAAGCAATTTTTCGGTAGAGACTTAAATGTGTTCGTATTAATTCAGGAAATATATTTATGGTTAGCAAGCATACCCTTTTGCTAGCATAAGACATGTGCTGGCAAAAGGATATACCCGCTAACCATAAATGTATTTCCTAAATTAATGCGAACACGTTTAAGGCACTACTAAAAAATTGATTGTTTTGACTTATCCCCTTATGCCTTTTACCCACAGACTTGATACATTTAAGATTGCAAAAATGTACTCGAGTACTTTTCCGTGTACTCGAGTACTTTCCCGTGTACTCGAGTACTTTTATGTGTCCTCGAGTACATCCAAAGTATGCAATGAGTACATTTTTATGCAGTGAGGTTGGCGTGGACACATATGTGCGTGGGTGTTGAAAATTTGGCAATACTGCTCAGACTTACGGACATGCTGCCTGAGGCAGCATCAGCCAGCTTGACTCACACGACAGCCTTAAAACAGCCTCAATCAATAAATAAAAAGACACAAAAAAGAGCATTGAACAAAAGGTTTTTACTTATGTATGAAATGTAATTTTGTTTATATTTTGGTAGAAATAAGGTGACAATATTCCTCAAAAAGATAATTAAAGAATAAAGCTAAGGCAAAGTGAAACATGATACTAGCCGGCCTTGATAATTAACATAAAGCGAAATATCAATATTTGATTAAGGCATTAAGCCGGCTAGTGTTTAGTTTTGCACTAGTGATTCTAAATTCATTTCTTATTCGCCCCATTTCTCTAGCATTTTTCCCAACATTTCATAACTAAAGTGTACTCGGTACTTTGTACTCGTATGGGTACTCGAGTACAACGGTACTGTACTTGTACTTGGTACTCGAGTACTTTTATATAAGAGTACTTGTATTCAGTACTCGAGTACTTTTTCATTGTACTCGGAACAGCTCTGACTATGGTAGACTTATAAAGGTGATATTTTGCGAACAGTCACTTACTACCAAAATACATATTCACACATAATTACAATTGTTGGAGTAAAACGTCGTAGAAACTGGGGTTGCTTAAGCTTATTGTCCCATACAAACTTTGAGGTTAGGTTTTTATACCATTTGATGCAATTTTTTCGATTACTATTACTATTACTATTAAAAACTTCTATAAAATAAACCGTTTCGAGATTACAATAATTGCTATATCGCATTAAAGGACTAAAAGGTATATGATAACAAATTTTTTAATTGAAAAAACTACAATTTTTTTAATGTGACGCTCATGGAATGCCCTTTTTAGTTTTTTCAACTAAGAAATAAAATTTGTTATCATGATATCCTTTTAAACAATGCGATATAACAATTTATGTAATCTCGAATATCTTGGAAACAGTTTATTTTATCGAAGTTTGAGAGGTACACCTTTAAAATGGTAGCCGAACTGTGTAACCGAAAAATTGCATCAAATGTTATAAAAACCTAACTTCAAAGTTTGTATGGGACAATAAGCTTAAAGCAACCCCCGTTTCTACGACACTGTGTTCATTCAAACAATTGTAATTATGTGTGAATATGTGTTTTGGTAGTAAATGACTGTTCGCAAAATATCACCTTTTCAAGACTACCATAGTAGAAGTTATATTAAAAAAACTGATATGATAAGTAACACTTTATCACCCTGTATCTTGAAAACATAAGTAATTAGGAAAAATATTTATTTAGGTTTTCGTCTAATTTTTACTTGCTCAATCAAAATCTAAATTTATGCCAATAAGTTTAGGGACACCTTGCATGATATAATTTTTTAGATAAAAATAATCTTGTAAATTCAACACCTTTTTAATCCATTGCAATAATACTGACAACGTTGTTATATAAAGAATAAAGTTTCGTAAATTCTTGGTCTGGAAAATAAATTTTAAACAAATGACATGTTTCATAAGTGAATACCTATGCAAATAAAAAATAATTAATTTTGAAAACTAAATGGACTCTTTTTATACATAATAGCTGTTTGTGTATTAAGAGCGCAAAGTGATACATTGCCGCTCTGAGCGAGAAGTTTGACGCGCAGCGGAGCGCGGCTATTTCGCTCGAATTACACACAGGATTTTTTCTACAACCGATGTTTCCATAAGAATGTTTGGTAAAAATGAATAATTATTGATAACCTCAAATTTGACGTTTGTGTCAAAAGTCAAAAAAACACTAAACGTTTCTTTATTATGGTTTCCATCGTAACTAAGCGAGCGACAAAGTAAAAAACGCTCGCTCCTAGGAAAAGTGCAACTTTTCGCTTTCTTTTGGAAGAGCTTGGAAAAAATACTTTTTGTAGTAAGCGAAACGCAACGAAACGATATTGTAATGGGATCACTAAACACAGCTTACAATTTAATATGCAAACCTGGGTTTAATGCAAATATTTATTCTGAAAAGTTCGACGTTCTAAAGCCTGATTTTAAGCAACGATTAAATTAAAATTATCTGCGCCAAGCCTCTTTAAAGTTTATTTTAGATGCCCCCGGCTTCCGAAATAATTAATGCGTATTCCGAATTTATAATAAACAAACTTCTTACAAAAGAAGCTTTTTTGATATTAAAATTTATATTTAGATTGATGCTTTACAAGCAAATACTTAATTAGTTAATAATTTTGGCAAAATTTAATGCTATTTCACAAAAATTATATAAACATTTTTATAAATTTTCTTAGAGAATATTAACATATTCTTGCACTGAAAAAAATAAGCTGTTGAAACAACAAAAAAAATATTAATTCAACTCTTTATGCACTTTAAATACAAGCAATGGTTTTTGCACGTTTACTTAACCATCTAAAAATGTCAAATTGTATTGTTTAATTGAACAACAAATAACAGTCAAATGAACAAAATAAGAATATTTGTTCTAATCTGCTAATTTGGTTAATTTAACATTCTTAGGGTGTTAAGGTAAATTTCTTGAAATGTCCAGGTAACCTTTTTAGCATATTCACTTAACACCAATAAAATGTTAAATTAACATTCTGAAAATGTAAAATTCTTTAAAGGTTGGTATCCAAAACAAAATTATGGAAATAATATATTATTATATATAAAAAGAAAGAATTGAACCTTCACCTCGCCCAGAGTTTTTGTTTTGAGCGTGTTCCACCCATGATACATCTTTGTATCATGTGTTCCACCTACTTCAAATACCGACAGACTGTTTCGCCCTGTATTGAGGGTCTTAACAGTGTCGGGCAATATGGTGTAGTGAAAGTTCTACTGTGGAACACACCTTAAACAAACAGATATCTCATCTTATATACACCTAATCGTAAGCTAACTAAGGCGAGATGTAAGAAAACGTCATTGTCTAATGACGTGGCGTGAGTGTTCGAAGCGCCATTCTCGGCAATTTTATGAATGCAAATTTTACATTTTAAATTTTAAAGTAACATTTTAAATTTGTTAAATGAACAAATTTAAAGTTTTGGATTAAAGAGCAACTAAACGTTAATTTAATAGTTTTTTTAGGTAATCCTAAAAATTTCAGTAGTTGATTCAACAAATTCCAGCTATTAAATCAAAGTACGATAAACATTTTAATTCAAAATATTAGTTTATGTTAAATTAATATTTAAACTATCAAATGAACAAATAAACTTTGACAAACTCTGACTTTTGCTTTAACACCAAAATATGGATTAATCCAATAGGTTTTTTGTTGAAACAACAATTTCAAAAATGACATTTAGGCAAATGTTAACTCAACTACATTATTTTTTTCGGTGTGCTATATTTAAAAAGTTTACCAAAAACGCAAAACATATGGGATGCCACATTAAAAATTAAAAAGTATCGTCCCAGTGAAGACCTAACAACCTGTATAAATCCGTCGTTTCTTAGATAAGAAAACACAGGCAAAGTGCCGATACAGGTCCACCAGCAGAATGTCGTCTGGCCCATTTAAAAATAGCTATTTTTACTGGGTCGGCATTGGACCAGGCGACATTTTGTTGCTGGGCCCGTCTGGCACTTTACTGTATTTGCTGGGACATTTTTCACTTACCATGTTATTCATGTCAAATTCGTTAACAAGCCAATCTTTGGCCTGCTTGAATTCCTCCATCATGCCCATAATATACAGGGTGTCGAGTCCATCAAGGATGGTAGCTGCCATCGGCATCGAACCAAAAATACTTCCAGTATGTCCTCTTTTCGAAATAGGTCGTAGCTCGTTTTTTCCCCAAGCGTATCTCACGTAGTTGTCCCAAGCGTGTTTAGTCATCTGAAATTAAAAAAAAAATGTAACAAACTAGAAATGTAACAGTTAAGGCGCGTTCACTCAAGTCAGCCTTATTGTCCGATTATAGTTAAGCAAAAGAAATATAATAAAATATATAATGATTCAATTGAATTGTTCAACTTTTTATTAAGAAAATTTTAACCCACGGCCATTCCAAGCCCATGGACAGGACACATCAGAAACATGTCTAAATATATTCTTGTTACTTCCTTAAGTTTACTTATTTTTTCTACGAGTATTTATGAGAAGTATTAGCCAAATTTGGCTAATACTTCTCATAAATACTCGTACAAAAAATAAGTAAACTTAAGGAAGTAACAAGAATATATTTAGACATGTTTCTGATGTGTCCTGTCCATGGGCTTGGAATGGCCGCCCAGTCAAACATTATTGCTTAAGTTAGTCATTTCGAGTTAAACTGTTAAATTTAACTGGCTGTTCGTGTATTTTGTAATGGTAAAAATATAAAAATAAAGATGCGAGGAAATAATTAATAATAACGAAACCACCCGTTGAAATATATTTTTAAAACCGAAACTGTTGATTATTTTGTATTGAAATTTGTGAACAAAACATTTTAAACTCTTTATAATTAACCATAATCGGCCAATGAACTTAAAAATTACAAAATATGACAAAAAGAAAAACAATTTAAATTGCGCCAAATTAGACATAACGATCAAATTCTGATTGGTTTAGAATTTTCGAAAAATAACGTATACATATATGCTCGTGTCGCTAGCTGTTTGCATTGATGACATCAGTTTTGTTCAATTTATCAGAAAATACTTTGTATTGTTGTTGGTTCTACTCAGGGTGGAAGAAGGAGGTGATATCGCTTCTATCTCTAAAGTACAGAAGCAGCGTCCACATAAGTCAGTATTTCGTTCGTTGTTCGTTAGATGGCGAGTCAAATAAGAACCTAAGGTTTTACCAACGAAATCCATATATTCTATAACAACTTAACTTTTAACAACAAATTATAAGATAACCAAAACCCAAGGAGAGTCTTCTAACCTCCTTAACGAAAATTACATCTTTTCCAACAGCATTATTAGAACGATTGGCAATACTGTAGTATTGCCAACTGTTCTACCAAAATTCACAGTCGTCACAAACGCACAAAAGTGACGTTGAAATGGTTTTATTTGAATTTTAATTAAGCTTATAACCACTATAGTGGTCTATTCTTTGAAGTTAATCAATGTAATTTTACTAAAAATGGGAAAAGTTTGTTGTGCACCGGGATTAAAACAGGTTCCACTTCAATGCGCCATCTATACAGAATTTTAACAAATACTGACTTATCTGGCCGCCTTCAACGACGGAGTTGAATCACCTCCTTCTTCCACCCTGGTTCTACTTACAAATAAAAACTATATTACCTCTTTAATTTTTTCTCTCCTGCAATCATTGTTACTATAATCACATGTGGTTTGATAATAAGCGTTTTTAGCTTTCATAGATAAAATATTAGGATCAGTTACATTTTGTCCATCAACTGATCTTGAATTTCTAGTTAAATAAACACTGGTAATTGCCATAACCAACAACGAACTGCCTATTCCTGCAGCCACTAACTTTGCCATTTTGACACCAAAACACTAATAACTATCTATCTAACAAACTATACCGACCAAGTACTACTGAACTAATCTTAAACTTTGATTCAAACTCACGGTTTTGTTTGAGTTTACATACACTTATCTCGATTATGACCAATCGCCACGCGAATGTCCATCGCGTGGCAGATTTCGACCTATCACGGCCGAGATTTTTGGTGGCAGAGATAAACTTGGAGGCATAATTTTGAAAAGAAAAAAAAAGACCCAAGACAAGTTTCTGTTGACAAACAATAAGTGTCGATTTTTTTTGCCTTTTAGGATGAAAAATAATCTATTATAATGCTTTTTTATAGAAAATTGCGTAAAATTTGAATTGCATTTATTTTTATTTTTATTATTGTATGTACTTGTGATTTGATCTCCATTTGCAAATTATGGAAAATAACATCCTATTTAAAAAACATATTTTATAAACAAACCAGTATTTCTATATTGTTTTTTATAGAACATTGCGCAATCTTAAATTGCATTTATTTTTATTTTGGTTTGTTTCAAGCTTAATTTTTATTAAAACAAAGATAACCTATTTTAAGATATACAATAAAAATGTTTTCATAAGAACTATTGTTTACAACATTTTGCACAATGTAATAATCGTGGATACTTAAATAAAATCATATTTCAATGAACCTTGTGGGTATTAATAGACCTAAATAAATAATAAAGAAAATGCATACATAATCAATCAATTTTACGCACTTCGAGTTTACTTTTCCAAGATTTACTTTGAAATGACGTTAATAAGACTGACTTTATTTTAAATCACGGACTAAGCGCTTGCAAAACAAAGAACAGATAACTTTTAAAGACCGCGTGACCACAAGATTTAGGGAAAATGAATTTATTGTACTAATTATTAATTTAATTACCATAATGAATGTATTGTTATATTATTCTTTTGCAAAATACTAATTAATCATGATTTAGTCTAAAATGGTATAATATGCAACAAGTTTTCTAAACGGCATTTTAATGACGAGCTTTAATTGGGCACTGGCGAAGCTTGCGGGGTTAGTGTTTCATAAACGAGTTTCTAGAGAAGTTTATAAAATAAATTGCATAGGTACTACACTTTTTCTACGACAAACACAAACATTAAATAATGTTAAAAAAAAAATAAAAAAAATCTGAAATCTGTGAGACGGTTCTAACCTCACTTTATAGATCATTATAGTGGTTTTATTTTGACAACAGTTTAATGCTGTCAAATTGATTCATATTGCAATTCAATTCAATTTTTACATAACAAAAAAATATATGTATGGGTAATTATAAAATGTGTATTTATTTAAAAAGGAACAACATTTTTTAGTGCCACATTGCATTATTTCGAAATTTAAATAATAACCGTTTTTATATTGAACAAAACTTTTAAGGATTTATAAGTAGCGGGCTTAAGAAATTATTGAACATATACATAATTAAGCATATTTCCTATGGACTAGGACTAGGTTAGTTTCCCGTTTTGAAATACTTTTTTTTATTGTCAAATTTCCTTTAAACACTAGTTTTTATTTATTTCTCTCAACAATTATTATAGTCCATTAAAAAAAAAGTTTTTTTATTGTCAAATTAACTTAATACAATGCTGCCGTGCTTAATGAAAACGCCGTAACCAACAATTTTGCGATTTTTGTTTTACGGCATTTTCTACTAGAACAATTCATCCTGCGTCTATCCCCGGTACTCAAAAAACCGTATCTATATATATACGGTGTACGGGAGTACCGGGGATAGACACAGGATTAAATGTTCTAGTAGAAAATGCCGTAAAACAAAAATCGCAAAATTGTTGGTTACGGCGTTTTCATTAAGCACGGCAGAATGGCACTAACAATATTATTCTATTATAAAATTTCTCTAATAAAGAAACATTTTATTACTTCCACAAAATGATCATTTCTGAAAAAGCTACGGTGAAACCTTAAAAACAGTGTTTTTATACATCTATACATTAGTGACATCGAGTTTCATCTAGTAAAGGTCGAAACAATAAAATATTTGCATACTATTTAAATATTTTTAAAGAGCGACATCTATACAAAAATAGAGTAACCAAAATTGGTGTTAGGAATCTGTTTTACCGGCTTTTAAACTGTCAGTATCGAATTAATCTGTAAAAACCGTTTAAATCCGATATACCGACATACAAGCAGTTTTTAAAAGTGAAAGTGGAAAGGATGTTCTTATGGGTACTTCACCCAAAATTATTAATGTTTTATCGGCAAATACTAGTTTGTTTCTGGAGAAATTAAAAAGTCAGTACAACCGTGCATATAAATTTTTTAAAGACTGGCGTCAAGAAACTATTTAATATTTTGTATTTTTGCATTGAGATAAGAAAATAATTTCCACATTTTAGTATTATTTCACAAGAACGTGTGTATTCAATAGATCACTTAGCGTTATGGGAATAGAAAAAGTAATTTTAGGTAAGTTTTATAACAACAATACTTTTTGTCAAATTTGCAAATTGCAGTAGACCAAATTAAATTTCTATTATTATTTTTTGTTTACAAACATTTTATCTAAATATTATTTTAATTAATAAATTAATTGCAAAATTGACACATGTATTTTTTATAGTTTGTCTCACAAAATCAAAACTTAAAATCATCATACCTAACTTTATTCATTATTAACAAAATTGAACTTTTTATTATTAAAACGTCATTGGGAAACAGTGTTCTATTATCTTATATAAATACATCATACATACATAAAAATAATAATAATAAACAATTTTAAATTTTCGGGACACCCTGTATAAACTATAATTATATTCAATTAAAACTTGTACTGGTTTAAAGGTATTGGAGTAAGCAAATAACCCAATATTTAATTATTTTCAATACCTTGTAAATTCATTAATGGACGCCTATGGTTACGAAGCTTCGTTTGTTGCCATTTAAATTGATTTATCGTAATGAGCAGTTATGATTTAAGGTCGGTTTAAAATACAACGATACGCCATTCTTTGTATTATTGATATTGAGTGAAATTCCCTTTTATCACGATAACTCATTGTTGCAAGTTCACTCTGGCGAACAATATATTGTTTATTCGCGTGACCATTCACTTACGAACCATCGATTAATTAATAACAAAATGGAAAGAAACTATGGGATTGTTTATCTTTAGTCTATTAGGATTGTTTATCTTTAGTCTATTGGGTCTCAATCATAAAGTTGCCGAAAGTTCAACAGGGTCTTCTTGTTGAATTCAATTCAAAGTTTATAAAGAGCCAAAAGCCGCAGAGTGCAGTGGATGACGGCCTTTTTCTAATTTAACGGTCCAGCTAGCGTACGAGATTGAATTGATGACCAATGAAACTGAACCGGACATCTGTGTGTGTGT